CTCGCTGTGTGCATTGTAGGGCCTGCTCTATGCAATGTAGGCCTCACTTTGGCGATCAGCTCTCTCCCTGCACATGCTCTCATTTCCCTCCTTCCCCTTCATTCCTTCCCATAAGGCTCTGCTCCATCTCGCTCAGCCGGCTTCCTGGGTGCCAGCAGCCCGGGGCCTATGGCCGACTTGTATGGCGCAGCCAATCAAGACTCTGGTGTCAGCAGTTACATCAGCGCTGCCAGCCCAGCACCCAGCACCGGCTTTGGCCACAGCCTCGGGGTGAGAGAGCCCTCACTGTCCTCTGCTCCACCAGTCCTCCAACATACTATGCTAATGTGCTGTAGCAGTTTGCTGGCTGGATGGATTAATTATTTATTTAGCTCCATTGTTTTGACATATTTAAGTTGCAGAGCCATTTGTAGTAATTTATCCTCAGTGACCCATCAGGCTTCTATGCACTCATCATCTTCTGGGTCACGGCTGCTATCAGATGCATGGTTTCGCTCTGGTGCGGTGAGCAGGTCCCAGTCCCTGGCCGTGTGCCTGCGGGCCTGGAGCGCCCCCTTCTGACACCTGTTTCTGCTGTCTCCCCAGGGGCCACTGATCGCCACGGCATTCACAAACGGCTACCACTGAAAAGGTGAAGAGCTCTTCCTCCTCATTGGTATCGTGAGCTAGCAATGTCTACAATGCTACATTTCTGTAACTTCTGTGAAATATCTGAAAGGGGCAGCATGGATTAGGGATTTGTGCCCCTGACTGGAAGGTTGTAGGTTTGAATCCCATAGCTGGGCAGAGTAACTGTCAGTCCTGGGCCCTTGATTAAGGCCCTCCACTGCCTCAGGGGTGCAGGACGCTTGCTGACCCTGCACTCTGATCCCAAAACTACCTCTCAGTATATTATACGTGTGTTTTTGTCTCTCATGGATGGCAAGATGGGATGAGTGAAGTGCCACTATTCCGTTCTTTGATTGTAAAACATGAAGAGTTGACTGATGTTTTGTGTGATCAGGAGGGGCGCTGGATGAGCAGGCAGGAGGGCCGGGCCCCCAATCCTGCTGCCCCGGCCGGACAACATGCTACTGCCGCTGCCACCGACTCCTTCCACATGCAGAAGACTGTTCATTTCCTGTTCTGTTCCCTCTACTTCCTGTCCAACTTCCTGTCCGATTTTTCTATTCTGTCATTACGCTCCTGTAGATTTCCCTTTTTATAGGTTTAATAGAGTCAGCGTAACTGATATTTTTTAATTAACTGCATAGCATCTTAAAAGAAGAAGTCAAAGAACAAAATGTACAAAAATTTAGGAAAGCTGTTAATGTTTCTTTGCCTATTCTTTATGGCATTTTAATTTAATTGTTATTTGACTGTCTAATATTGGTTAGCTGAACATTTTGTCAGAGCCTGAAACCATCATTGCAATGATACAGAGGGAGAGTGAACAAAAATTAGCCTAAATTAGCGTAAGAATAACTTTTCTCTAGATGAATGATACTTGTGGGGGGGGGGCACTGATCCCAGCTTGTGCGGATGTTTGATGTCTCTGTGTTAGGTTCTTAATGAATTTTAACAAGTTGAAATGATCTAATCAAAATCTTTTTTACAAAAAGGTGTGCAAAAAGGATAAACAAGAATGTATATTTTGGTAGTTTTAAAGCAAAAGAACAACATTTGTAATATTAATAATGATCACAGTGGTGAAGATAATCAAGAACATATTTTATGTATTTGGTTTTAAACAATGTTTTCCTCTGCTTGTAAAATATTGTAAATATAGCTTTCTCCTTTGAATTTTACTTTTGTGGGGGGACCACAAGGCAGGCTGGGAGTGCGGGGGGGGCATGTTTTGTGAGACCTGGAGATGATTGTATAGTTGGGGATGAAAACCTGAAGTGTTAAAGGTCAGCATGTCCCCCAGGCAGGAGGGGGGAGGTCTGAAGCAGGGGCCACTCTGTCCTCCTCCTGGGGGCGGGACATTTCTAAAGAAACTTTTATAAAACTCCTATTTCCATCTTTCTGATACGTCATGCTTTCCACCAAAGCAGGCTGAGGTTCAGCTCTCGCTACCACAGCTAGCTCTCACCACGTTCCCCAGTGTCGGCTGCCTTGCCCACGGTTGAGCACGAACAGTTTGTAAGCAGCATTACATGATGCCCTTTTATGGTCAGCGTGGGGAGGGTGAGGGGTGGGTGGTCTCTTCCTTTCAGATCCTGCTGGAGATCCCCAGCTGCATTTGGTACTGATTTGCACAATTCAGCATTACATTCAGATTGACTTTACAGCCCTCTGCGCTACCGATGGACTCTGGAGGGGCAACGAGCCTCGAAATGCGGAGGGGCAACAGTTTGGATGGATAAAGAGCAGGAAGAAGGAGGCTGTGTGTACGAAGGCCTACAGGAAGCTCAGTCCTGACGTTCAGCGTGGACGGACGCAGAAGAAGCCTGTGGGCAGAACAGACCGGGGATTATGGTGAGGAGAAAATATCTGCCATCCTTTGGATAAGAAGGCGAATCCCTTCATGTGCAAAACAAAGAAAGAGCTGGACCCAAGGTCCTGTGTGCTGTTGATGTTTTGCAGATTATGGGTAGATTTTGGGGACGTCTGGGCCTTTAAATGTGCTAATTGCTTCAGTTTGTGGTTACATCTTATGTCGCTTTTGTTTCATCCACTATGAATTATTGTTAATAATGATTGGTAAATTTAATAAATATGAAGGACAAACGTAAGGACTTCCGTGTTAAAGGAAATGGGGGGGGGGAGCAGCTGGTCTCGACACATCCATCACTCACATTTCCGTAATTTCTAAGGTTCCCGGGGACATTACCGCGAACCTGACACGCCCTCTTACCGCCAGTGTGACAGGAGTGGGGGGTGGAGCTACTGCTTGACAAACACTTGAGCTCTTTAATGGATTTTTGTTTATTTTTGTAATAATAATTATCATAAGAGATGCTGACGCTGAGACACCTGGAACCTGAACAAGAATCGTTTGCTTTCATGTTATTTTTCCCATGTACGTGTGAGTGCGTGGAAGCGGGCGGGACGGCGCTCCTGCTTTTTGGAGGTGTGAGTCTGGCCCTGTGCTCTGCAGGGGCAGGACAACTCTTTGGGGCCGGGGGGGGTCCACGATACATGCGTTCTTTGCAAAGACTTTAACACATAACACTGTATTTTCTGTCCCGCAACTTGCTGTGTTCCAAACTCATTAAAATTCCTAATAAATTATTTGAAAAGTCTATCGATAGCTGTACTTCCTGATCTTGCTCTCCTCGTGTGATTTGAATTGGCGCACGCAGCGCAGCCCCGAGAACACGCCTGTTAATGCGGGCCGCCGCCTCTTCAGAAGCTACCTCTCGCTGTCATTTCCCATTCAAATACGCCGCTGCTGTTCGCGGAACAGTCACATATACAATCGGGCTGTACATATCACTGTTTGAATGAAACCTATGGGCCCGATTAATGAAATACATTTACGTCAGGCACACGATTTATATTCTATTTATTTGCATTTTAATAACTATATAGTTTGAATAACTGACTGTTACCTTAATGTGAAGCTGAAAAAGAGCGTAGCCCACACGGCTCCCTGGGGCTACTTTGAAGTGCAAGGCGTGCATGGTCAGCGCGTGGAGTATACAGCGCGCCCCGGGCGGAGAGCTCACTGCGGTTTGCGTTTCGCTGCCGGTGCTCGACCACCGCGCCGCCTCACTCTCCCACAGATCTGGACCATCTACCTTCCCTCCCCTCACCACTTCCCTCAACACAGAAAAACAAGCATATCGGCATAAACACCTGTCCCCACGCTTTGCTTTCTCTCCTCTAATTTAGGCTGAAGGACAAAGAAAACAATACACATTGTTAATACTAGGGTGTACCATTGTATTGCATCACACAATTATGACATACTTTATATATGATGCATGTAATAATTAAATGTAACATATCAATGATAAAAACATGCATAATTTAAAAAATGTCAGCATAGCATTATGCCACATTTAATTAAAAAGATAAAACGGAGTTTCCCCTTAAGACCTTCAAACACATCGAACCGGATGAATGTGATGCAACGAACAAACATTTTGCAAGTTAAACAATATATTTTGCATCATATAATAATCTCATCGTACTAAATTGAAATTAAATTACAGGCTCAAATCACAAACTAAAGTAAAGTACGTTCTATTCATTATATAATGTATGTTAAACAACAGGCTACCATTAACATAACTTAGAAAATTAGAAAGTCAAAGATTTTGTTTCAGGAAAACTTCACCGGATTGTCTGAATCATCGAATAGTAGAGTACACGACACTAGTAGGCTCAGCAGATGTGTTCACATTAGAAATCTTAAAAGAGAAAGAAAAAAAATGAGGTTAATAGTTTCCGACCAGTTAATATAGCGTTTTCTATAGCTGTGGATTGAAAGGTTTATTAAAATTATATGCATAGCCTAAACGAAGATGTAATTAATATTCAAAAATTAACAACTAAGATTTCATTTCATCGTTTCATAGTTTGTAACGTAATGAACATAGCAAATCTATAAATAAAATCTAAACGCGCCCAAAGGAACGAGAGGGATCACCTGTCCTTGGCCGCCGCGGCTGTCAGGGCGCGGGGATTTTAATCTGACGTTCAGCGTCGCGTACTGGACCTCGGACTCCAGAGCATCAGATACCTGCGGGCAGCGACAGCACAGCAAAGTTATTACTGCCTTTATTGTTAGAAACCTTCGCCTTTCCATCAAATGGAAATTATGTTTTAGGGGTCTGGATCCCCGAGCGCATGGAACGTACCTGACAATCGTTTTCGCCGGTGCTGGAGGCCAGTTTAGTTCCTGAAAATTATTTGAGGCTTTTAGTTTACAATATACACGAAATTGTTAATAATTAATGGTGTTTCAATTTTACTCTTGAATGTAAATCCAGTGTTCGTGTTTTATTAGTTGGGCGAAAATTAAGCCTTATTTGTTTAAAGCTTATTCAGAAAATCTTTCACGGCAACATGTACCTAATTAGACAATACATATTTTACGCTTTAATATTTTATAGCTGTTTTAGTAATATGCCTACATGTACGTGGCCAACCTATGTTATGAAAGGTTTTTAACATATTGTAATTTCCCGTTTAAATTGGGCATACTTTTGTACTTGCAGCAAATTAGGAAGCCAGTTACCACAGTTAACGCCGCCATCGACAGCGCCGTCCACAAAGCGATGAAGAAGATGTGCTTTCGGGTATCACTGACGGCAGCTGAGTCTGATACAAAAATAGACGTGATTGAGATGAACAGACATTATTCTATTTTAACGTTTTTCAGATACAAAATTATGCTTTTCGTGGCCGATAAAATTTCAGCATGGATAGGCTAACGGTAGCCTATAGGCTATCTGATGTTTTAGGATTTACACAGACAGCCTACAGAAAGTATTTCCCGAGATTTCGCGAATCCTTCTTACCTGTTACAATAAGGACAGTGCCTTTTCCTTCCATATGTGATAATATGGGAATTTCTAGAATCACTTCACAAACGTACGTACCGCTCTCATTCCTTCGTACGGAGGTTAAGTTCAGATAGAAGGATCCGTTCTGGATTACGGTTACGTTTACACGATCTGTGGCAATAATGGATATATTGCACTTCCATCTAACCCGAATTTCCCCCCCTGCAGAGAAGTTACCCTGATAATGACATTTCATGGTAACGTTACTGCCCGGCGCCACTTCCATCACCTCCGGCTCCTGCCGAACTGAGAGGAGCACAGCGGCCGCAGTATTACCTGAGTACAGACAAGTGAAGATATTTCAGTAAATAACCTCTCAGCTTGTGAAGAAGCGTTATCTGCGAATTATCGTTTCTATTTATATAATCACGGTTCAATATGATTAATTGCAACCGTAGGTAGAGTTTTATGTTTACACTTGGGGGGGAGCGGCAAGATAATCATCTTGCTTATCCCATATGATAACTCACACATACCACATACTCGACCGGTCGATCGTCACGGGCAAAATATACCGAAGGGACCCCCCGGTCGCCAGAGTAACTCGCGACCTTTTCTTTCTTGTCTAGCTCTCATTGTATAACTTACACTCTTAATGAACTTTTATCAATAACTGCATCTTGGACAACTTACTCTACAAAAAAAAGAAGAAGAAGAAGAAGAACAAGTTGAGGGAGGCGTAAAGACAATTTCCCCATGCACAGGGATCAATAAAGTATCGATTATTATTATTATTAGTATTATTATTATTATTATTATTATTAGGCAAAACCCCTCCTAATATTATTTGTCGGTCCTTATAACCTAATAATTTATTGACTTAATAAAACCGGACCGTACATATTGCAGAATGATGCTTTATCGCCGTTAAAGGCACCCTGACTTAAGGAGAAGCACATAATCGTTATATCCGCACAACACCATCGATACGGCAAACATCTGCATTCAAACAAACCCAAACAACTGCTACATTAGTGCATAATATCTGTTAGCTTGTCAGGTAAAACACGTAAAACGCAATTTATCAAATGCAGGATAAGTCCTCTATTTTCCCCACTGGCATAGGCTGGGGGGGCACTGCCCCCACATCCCAAACTCCGCCCCTACTACAAACAAATTTAATAACTATTTAATCATTAATATATCTTAATGCTTATGTTAAATAAACATACGATTAAAATTAATTGAAAATCACCCTCGAACATGGCCTAAACTGACTCTCACGCAGCGACCGTCGCCCTCAAATTCAATTTAGTTATAACGCAACTGATTTCTGCTGTCGACAAATATAAATTTATACTCGTTTCTTACCTGGCGTGTGAATCCAGTCCGAAATTAGGCCTAGCAACAAAAACGTAAAGAAAAACATCGCTTCACTCGCGCTATTCATTAAAATACATTTATTAATTCAAAGAGTGTGAATATTTCTAAATGATGTTCGTATAGCAATTAACGTGCGGCGTAGTTGCAGGGGAGTTGTGAAAATGCGGTGGTGGCGTCACAGACCCTTCGCTTTAATTCTGTGACAACCTTTTTCCGCATCGCCGCTGTAGAAACTGTTAAAGCATTGTTTCTGAAACTTTGATTTCAATTTTTTCCCCTCCACCATGGGCGTAAATTACGGGGGGTTGTAACCCCCTCCCCACAATAAGTCAAAACCAGCTAATACAACCCCCCCAATAATCAATTTTAATGGGTGGAGACCTCAACCCCCCCCCCAATGTTCCAGCCGAAGTTACGCCCTTGCCCTCCACGTTACATAGTTTTGATGCATATGTTAATAAAACATAACGTACTATATTTATTCGATGCTTTAACCGCACATATCTTTTCGAGTAAAATAGTTCGTAATACTTAATATAAAATTTAAACGCGGTAATAAACGACAACAAAGAAATATGCAGCCACATACTGAAAATATAAGCAATAACATCTGGAAGGAACAGTGGGTACAAATCAACACGTTTCAGGTCATTTGAAAGAAAAACCTGGAAGAATCAAACACGGTAGTTTTAAAAATGCATTTACATTTCAGCTCGCAATCACGAAACTCCGACGAAAAGCATTAAGTTCCGAGAAAATGTACAATCAGTACAGGGCGTTCGGCGACTAGGAAAGGACAGTACACACTTAAATATTTTTTTGAAAAGGGTAACGTTTTCATTTTCAGTGTATTTAATATTACTTAATAAAGGCTATAATTTCTGATTGAAAGTTTCAGATATTTTACAAGGACAAAGGTAAGTGCCTGGTGTAAACAGTCTATAGGCTTGTACGGAAAACAGTTTTTTTATTTATTAAAATATTTTATTAGTCTTATACTACAGGCAACTTAGACACGCCCCACCTTTTATAAACGAGGACCAAGTATGCACACCAGGGAAGAAAGCAGGAGGGGCGTGACTGACAGGACGGGCAGGGTGTGACAGACATTTTGTCAGGGGGACCAATATTTCTAGCTATGCCGCTGAACGCGTGGGAACTGTCACCGCTGCCTTTTTCTGAATTGGTCAAATTTACCTCTGGTTACTTATTGGCCCCAGCTCCAGGTCCCATTTTATTTGCAACTTGTTTATAGAATGAAGAACAATGTCATGAGGACAAATCAATTCAATAAATATGTATTACGTTTGTTTTTGGTTTGCAGAGTAACTTTTACCATCTGCATGTGTAGACCGTTGTTGTAAAACCTTGTTATATGTGTTGTATTGTAATACATAAAACAAAAAGTACATATCTGGACATGTGCTTGAATGCATGGCAATTTATAGTGAGCGTGTCTCACGGTAAACCACACAGCTTCGATGGTTCCCAGGGCTCAGACAACACACAGTCAGTACGCTGCACACCTCAGCGCAGCCCGGAATGGAAAACCCACACAATATTTGCGTCTTACTTCCTGGGTTCGGGTGGATTGGCGTCCCAAGCAACCGCCACCTCGTCTAGACATTTCTCATAACGCCCCCTCTACGCCCTTGAAGCACGAGAGCAGAGCGTGACACCGCACGTTGATAATTAGCTTCAAGTCCCATCATTGAGCGGATTGCGCGATTATGAATTCCTGTGTGCTAATGTACAGAAGGCAAATAAAGGATCTTGAAGGATGTATTGCTGGTCATTTGCATTTAATTGCTTAGAAACTATTCGGGCAAATGATATTGGAAACATAAAAATAGGTTTGTGGCTAAACGCCCTTTTTCATGAGCTATATCCATGTTTAATAAGGAATCTGCTTCATGCTTAAGGGACAAAAAGGGGGGTCTAAACTGAAACAAACACGTGCAAATCTGGCAAGCGTGTCAGAATATACCAGCTAGTATATACCATTCATGTTAACAGTCACCAGGGGTAAGTTGCAGGAGCTTGAATACCCAGGAGATTCGGGGAATGGGGGAGGGGGGCCACTTCACAGCAGCCACTAAGCAAAATTATACGATTATATAAAGTTAGGCTTGGGGGGGCAAGGTGACATTTTGGCAATGGGGTGCAGAATTTCTAGCTATATCCCCGATGGTCACAAAACTTGGAGGATATACTGTATATACCGAAATTCTGCATCTTTACAAGTTCTCAAATTTGTTAGCCTGTCCAATTTAGTTTTATTGTATAAGATATGGACGATGCTCTAGTCCACATGCTCCACAAAGCCTCCTTCCAACTGGACAGAGCTGAAACGACAGGACTGTGTTCTTCAGCCGCTCTAGTGCCTTCAAAACCACTTGATGTCTCCATAGTTTCATGAACCTCACCACTACCTGACCAACAGATGACAGTTGGTGAGGCTCCAGGACATTGTGCACAGGTGGTTGTGAGCAACATTGAGGTAGCTCAGAAAACCGTCCTGTGTCTCTTCCTGTTTTTGCCATTGTAGTGGGCAACAACATGGAGTCAGTCTACAGAAGTGTAGTGGAGGACTTGTGGTGCAGGGTGAGCAACCTGCAGGTCAACATCAGCAAGACAAAGGAGCTGGTGGGGAACCAGGCAGCGCTGGCCTGACATTCCCAGGCATGGAGGTCTGATTGCCATACCCATGCAGATGTGCATGTGCAGCCTGTGTGATCTTCCTGTGTTCCTCCTCTAATCCAATAACATGTGTTTGGGTGAGCTGGTGTCTCTACATTTCTCAGTGTGTCCCCTGTGATGGACTGGAGCTGTTATGGGCTTCCTGGGGTAGGATCCAGGCTGACTGAGTGGTAAAGGGAAAGGGATTGACTAGAAAAATCAATCAGTGTCTTTGGCAGTGTGGAAGCCGGTGGAAGCCCATGTGGAGCCCTAGGCAAGTTTCACCGC